GAGGAGTGCCCCCCACCCAGGCAAGGAGAGGCCTGTATGACAGGGGAGGCGAGGCCCAGCCCAAGCCCAAAATAGCACGGGATGGCAGGATGATGGAGGCAGTGCCAGGCGGCGGCAGGGTGGGTAATTGATTGCCCTGTGCCAGCCATGAATAAAACATCGGCCTCTGCTCCATCTGGGTTCATTATTTGCTGGGGGGACAGGCCTCGTTTATTAGGGTTGCCTCTGCTTGCTTTCTCCTCCTCCGGACGAAGAAGACCCTGCCCTTGCCCCTCCCTCCTCCCTCTCCTGACTTGGCTCCCCAGTGCCCAGAGGACAAACTGAGGCTCTGGGCAAGATGACCTGTCCGTGTCCTGTCCCATCCTGTCGGCAACCCTGACTTTCATACCTCCCTGCCTTTGCCTGTGCTATTCCAGCGCCTGGAACCCTCTCTCTCTTTCTTCCCTGAGGAAATCCTGCACTGATTCCACAGCCCAGTGAAGAAGCTCTTTCAGGAGGCTTTGCCTGTCCTCAACACCACCCTGGGGGACACAGGGCCCTACCCACACTGAGTGTGGTTAGTGCCATCCCACCCCTGCAACAGCTGACCGCTGGCCTGGGGGCCCTGTTCTCCACTCCCCAAAACCACGCTGCTCACTCTCAAAAGTACAAACCCCATTCAATCTACCTGGAGGTGCCATTTTTCACCCATCAGGTTGTCAAGGACCCCAGAGTGGCATGGGCAGTAACCCCAGACCCACTGATGACTTTGGCTCACAGATAGCCAGGTCCCTGAGCAAGGGTGCTGACTGCAGCCTGTCTGCACAACTGGGACGCCACCATGGTGCATAACACACGGGGACATCCACGCTGTCAAAGGTGACAGAGCCAGGAAAAAGGAGGCATCAGCTCCACTGTCCCAACATGAGACACTTCACCAATGCATCAGGTTTGCGAAACCCTGGGTGCAGAGCAATACCCACACAGGCTACGTTTTCTGTTCAAAATAACCACAAAAAAGGACCCAGTGACAGAGGCTCGCACATGTAATCCCAGCATTACAAGAGGCCAAGGGAGGATGATCGATTGAGCCCAGGAGTTCTAGACCAGCATGGGTAATAGAGGAAGACCCCATCTCTACAAAAAAAAAAATTTTTTTTAATTAGCTGTGAGTGGTGGCTCATACCTGTAGTCCTACCAATTTAGGAGGCTGAGTCGGGAGGATCCCTTGAACCCAGGAGTTTGAGGCTGCAGTAAGCTGTGATGGCACCATGGCACTCCAGCCTGGGCAACAAAGTGAGACTCTGTCTCAAGAAAACCAAAACTGAAAAACAACCAAACAAAAAAAGAACCGCAAAAAAGATGTCATAGGAATGCTGTGTGTACGGCAGCCTCCAGAGGACACACAAGCAATCCAGCACTGACCTCTGGAGAGAACTGAGAGGCTGGGGGCGTGGCGGGGAGGGACATTCACTCCATGCCTGAATGACTGTGAACATGGGGCCGTGCACAGTGCCCATGGAAATGAAAATAAAACCTGCCAGCCTGCTGGCCGGGGACTTGCAGTAAAGCACAGACACCGTGGACGTGATTGTTGCTGGTGGAGATTGCAGCTTCTGGATGCGTCGGTGGCGCTGTTCCGGTAGCTGAGTGGAGATGCCGGCAGGATCCGCATGCAGCACGGGCCCGGGGGCCTGTAGCCTCGACAGCCATCCACCTGGAGGCACTGATGGCACGGGAAGGCGTCCGGGAGGGCTCTGTCCCCTTCCACAGCGTGGATGTCTCCACGTGTTATGCACCCTGCCCCATGGTGGCATCCCGGTTGTGCAGACGGGCTGCAGTCCGTACCCTTGCTCAGGGACCCAGCTATCTGTGAGCCGGAAGGTGGCCGGTGGGGGGGAGGTGGAGGAGAACCCTCAGGCGTGTTTCACTGCATGACAGATGTCCCCGAATCTGCCCAGATGCTGGCGGAGGCTCTGGCCTCTTCTCGCTGCCTCTGTGTTTCTGAAAATGCATCGCTGATGGAGTGAAGGGACTCACCCTCAGGACTGCCCCACCAGGCTGGGCACCCAGCATTACCCCATTCCAGCCCTGGGCATGTGTGTGTGTGTCTGGGCGTATCTGTGTTAGCACATCTGTGTGTGTCTCTGTACCTATGCAGGTATAGATATGTATGTCTCTATTAACTGTATTTGTGTGTCCATGTATGTGTGTGTGTGTCTGTGCAGATGTGCCTGTATGTGTGTGCATGTGTGTCTGTGTGTACTTATGTGTGATTGTGTCCTTGTATCTGTATGTGATCATGTGCGTCATGTATGCACACTTGTCTGTGTGTCTGTGTACCCATGTGTGACTGTATGTGTCCCTGTGTGTCTGTGCTGTGCATGCCCCGGGTGTCTGTGTGCATGTGTATGTATCTGTGTGTGGCTGTGGCTGTGTCCCTGTGCACCCTGTGTAGCTGGGTCCATGTCCAGCTGTGTAAGAGGCCCCCGCAGGGGAGGCTGGGCTCTCCCATGGGCCCTGATGAAAGTCAAGTCCGTAAAACAAACCTTCTGAGCTCCAAACCCCTGGTCCTAGGAACAAGCTGGACATGGGAGTAAGTCAGGCCGGAGTGACTGTGAGGTCCCCGAGCCTGTGGGAACAAGAATGAAGACGAGTCCTGGGTTTGGGGTCCAGGCCCCCCCAGCCAGTACTGAGAGGGCAAGAGAGTGATCACGGCAGCCCTGTTGGCTGGGCCGATCCTCTGGCCGGGAGACTGCTGGTGGGGGGATCTTCCTCTTGGCCTCTAGGGCCACTAGGTGATGCTCAGGGCTAGGGGTAGGGATGGACCCTTCATGACACCCCGGAGCTGCCTGACTGGCCCTGGCTGTGCCTGCTACAGAAGTGATATCTAGTGACAGCATGAGATGTGACATCACTGAGGCCTCCTCAAAGCTGAGTCTGTTACGGTGGAAGAAGACCATCAGTCTTCCTCCTCAGGAAGCTCACAATTCCGGCAAGGAAAGAGGCCCACAGCCAGACCGCTGCGACCTTCGAAGTCAGGCCACGGCCACAGGTGCGTCAGGCAGGATCCGGCCAGGAAGTGGAAGCCCTCAGCTCTCTCCAACAGAGAGAACTGCATCTAGGGAACTGGTCACACCGTGATGAAGGCTCTGAGACCTAAACAGGCGATGGGGAGGAATCCCAGACTGGAGTCAGCACGAAGCCGCCATCCCAGTCTGGAGGCAGGGAGGAAGGCAGTGGGGTCACCAGTCCCAGGGGCTGTGTTCATGCAAAGGGAGAGCTGGAGCCTCTCCAGGGGTGTCTGGAGCCATGGGGGTGATGTGGCTGCTGCCAAGGAGGCCATCCAAGGAGAGATGTAAGGAGAGACGTGCCCCTTCCCCCACCACCGCCAAACGCAGAAGCCTGAGAGCAAAGGATGCTGGGAAGTGACCTGAGGGGTCAGAGCAGGGGCCCCACCTGGCAGGCTCAGACGGGGCAGCACAGCTAGGCCCACGCATCCTAGCAGGGGCCTGGTCTACGTCAGGTGCTCAAATGCTGGCGTCGCACAGTGAATGGATGCAGGGCAGGACATCAGCCAGGGGGCTGGGGCCCCAGGTGGGAAAAAGGAAGGGATGGACACTGGGTGCATCCGAGCCGAGACCTCAGGGGCCCTGAATGCCCGCTTGGGTTTGGCTGAAAACCTGAGGGCTGGCATGTCCCCAAACATTCTCTGTCTTACCATCAAGGCCCCTGACTGCTCTTGTTTCTGTCCTGAGCTAGGCAGCCCAGTGTTCATTTCCCTCATTCTCCAGACAAGGAAACAGGCGCAGAGGTGTGGAGGACCTTGACCAAGTGACAAAGTGACCTGCCCGAGACTTTAGTGAGGGGCAGCACAGCCCAGAAAGCAGCGGTGGACGCAAGGCCCATCCACCCCTGGCTTCCCAGAGGTGGAGAGATTGCTGCAAACTGCCAGCGATGGGTGACAACCAGGAGCACCTTGTCACGACCGTTCGGTGACCTTTCAGTCCTGCCTTGTTGGGTGGCAACCTGGCTTCAATCGCCAATGTTTTTCTCCAGGCAGAAGATAAGCAGAAACCTGGCCCAGTGCAGTGGCTCATGCCTGTAATCCCAGCACTTTGGGAGGCCGAGGCGGGCAGATCATGAGGACGGAGATCGAGATCATCCTGGTCAACATGGTGAAACCCCGTCTTTACTAAAAATACAAAAATTAGCTGGGCGTGGTGGCACGTGCCTGTGGTCACAGCTACTTGGGAGGCTGAGGCAGTAGAATGGCTTGAACCCAGGAGGCAGAGGTTGCAATGAGCCGAGATCGCGCCACTGCACTCCAGCCTGGGCAACAAGAACGAAATTCTGTCTCAAAAAAAAAAAAAAAAAAAAAAGAAGCAGAAACCTGTGACGACACAGGTGCCATCTGTGCACTGTCCACATCCTCTTGCCAGGGCCACGCGCCCAGGTCCTCACAGGACTCAAGCAAGAGGGTGGAGGAAGAGAGGCAAGTGGGGAGGAATTGCAGGCCAAAGGGGTGGACGCTCCTGACTCCAGGTCTCAATTCCTTCAGAAAGGCTGGAAATCGGGACTTTTTATGGAAACAAATCTCAGATTTGAAAATGCTGGCCCCTAGTTGGCATGTTTAAAGTAGGTAGAACAAATCCATGGAAGCCATGCTGAGTGTCTGCATAGGGGCCAGGCCTGTGAGCTCTGCCAGCTCTGAAGCAACTTTCTTGAGTGCCAAGCACACGCCGACCACAGGGCCTTTGCACTGCTGCTTCCCGCCCGGAAAGCTCTTCCTGCTGGCATCTCGTGACTCACTCCCACACTGTCTTCAGGCATCTGCTCAAATGTTGTCTCCTCCAAGAGGCCTTTCCTGACCTTTTCCTTCCCATTTTGTGGGTTTATTTTTCTTCCCAGTGTTCACTTCCACCTGACATCTCAGTATCGTCCAGCTCCCAATGAGACCATCAGCTCTGTCGTGAGGGCAGGGTCCCTGGCTTAGGTTTCCCTGGATGCACAGGGCCTGCCCAGCCCACAGCAGACACTCAGTCGACATTTAATGAATCTGTGGTTTAGCACTTCAGGACCCCTGGGGCACGGTCACGGGGACACAGGGCGCCCAGGACCACACGCCTCACAGACATGATGTCTGAAAGAGGGGCCAGCTGAGCGGGTTTCCACCCCTTCCCACCCCACAGGCTTGCTGAGAACTTTGGGACGGCCCAACTCCACTGGAGGCCTCAATTTCCCCACATGTGCAATGAGGGGGTGATACGTGCCACCGTCTCAGGGGCACATGTGGGGTCCCAAGGCGGCCATCATTGCCAGCTGCCTCAGCCAAGCAGAGGGACAGATGGATTGATCAGCTCCATATTGATCGCGTGGTCACAGATGCTCTGGAGGGGGCAGGAGGGGTGGGAAGCGGAGCGGAGCCAGGGGCCCTGGAGAAATGAAGAGAAAATGCCAACCCCCATCAATGCCTGGGGCTGGCCAGCGGGAGGGGCGTGATAGTCCATCTGAGGGTTTCTTTCCCTGTCACCTAGGGGTTCAGAGGCTCAGGTGAGCTTCAGGGGAGCCAGGCAGGGGCGAGTTGTGAACACGGCAAAGAGCCCTCCCCAGCACACCCTGAGGAGGCCATCCAGAGCCTCTCTGCCTCTAAGTCTTGGAGCAGCTGAGGCCGGGGGAGCTGAGGCAGAGGAGCTCGGGGTGGGGGGCGGGGGAAGGTCCCTGCCCACCCAAGCCACGTTTCTTAGATGCCGCTCACCGGGGCTGGAAGTGTATGCCAGGCTAGCATTCTGCTGCAGAGCCCACTTGAGACTTGTTTTCACACAAAAGCCACCACGTCCTGCCCTGGATCTGCCAGGAAAGCCAGTGCCCAGGAGATGAGAAACTGAGAACGTGGCCAGCTCTCTCTGGGAGCGATAGCCCTGTGTGGGACATGCAGCCACAGCACAAAGACCTAGGACCTAGGGGTCTTGGGAAGGGAGGGGGCTGAGGCTAAATCCCAGCTCCACTCCAATTTAGGGGGCAAAACTCTTTTTTGCTGAGGACCTCGATTTCCCCATCTGGAACCTGTCCCTCAGAGTCTTGGGGCTCCTGGGTTTTAGGGAGGGAGGGGCAGAAAACAACCTTGGAGTGGACTGATGGGCAGGTCGGGAGCCCAGACGGAAGGCGCAGACAGGACGAGACCATGAGGACTGTTATCGAGGCCTGGCCGGCAGGAAAACAAGCCCTTAAACACAGGGCCTGCAGCTCAGCCATTACGCTGCTGGGTCCCTACCCCACAGCATCGGAACAGGTGCTCAGACAAAGCTTGCACATGAATGCGGATAACAACGCTGTTCACAGCAGCCAAGAGGTGGAGACAGCCCTGAGCCCATCCACAGATGAATGAACACACAAGTGTGTCCGCACAATGAACCCGCTCATCCACGACATGAAGAGCGTGGCGTTCCGGCACTGGTACAGCATGCAAAGCCCTGGAGGACACAGAAGGACGAATGCTGAGGGTTCCATTCACATGAAACGCCCAGAACTGGCGAATCCATACAAACCGAAGCAGATCAGAGGCTCCCACAGGCTCAGGGGAGGACGCGTGGGGAGTGACCGCTCCGCGTTGTCACGGGGTCTTCTTCTGGAGCGATGGAAATGTTCTGAAACTAGAGTGGCGATCATTGCACAACATTGTGAGTGGAGTGCCACTTAATTTGTATGCTTTAAGGAGGGCAATTTCACCTCAATACAAAGGGGGGAACCCTCCACCGGGGACACAGCAGCCCACTCAGAGACATGGCAGAGAGGCGGGGCTCTGGATCTGGCCCTGCAGGGGCAATGAGGACACCCACGCGGACACCCACGCTGCCGGGGCTGCTGTGAGAGGAGCGCAGAGCACGGGGCCCAGGGCAAGGGAAACATTTGGGGCGTTTGTCACCCTCCCCAGACCATGCTTCTGCAGGGTGGCCCAGGCGGCTCAGGCTGGCTGTCCTGTTGGGGAGGCGCCGGGCTGACCCAGGCCACACCTGGGGCCGCAGCCTTCACAGTGGCCAGGAGCCGAGCCGAAGTGGGGAGTCACGTAGGTGGGGTCGGCCCTCTGCCCGTGGCTAGCTCATGTCTCCACCCTGGGCCTCACCCATCTCTGAGAAGGGGATAGACACCAGTCCTCTAGGAAGCTTCAGTGCCAGAACCTTTCTGCATCTGGAGTCCCCAGGGAAGACAATCCATCAATCAATCTGTTGATCCACCCACAGGACCAATAGAGACAGGATGCCACATTTGGTAAGCAGTGGTGAGCAAGCTGACAGACGGGTTCAAATCCCAGCTCCTCCACCTCCCAGCCCTCCACCCTCAGGCCCCAGCTGCCCTAGCCAGCCTTTCTGGGCCTCAGTTTACCCACCTGTAAAATTCAGGTAATAATCACCACCACCCCATAGGGTACTGTGAAGATGGAACGAGTCTGTGGGAACAGCACCTGGCTTGTGGCGTGGGCTCTGGAGGTGGGGACTGATGTCCTGTCTAATTTTCACTGTTGAGAATTAGAACAAACTGTTGTCCAGCTAAGGGGAGAAAGGAGCCCTGCCCAGAACCAGCCAGAATGAGGAGACTGCATGGGCTTATGCCACCAGCTCGCCCCTCCTAAGAAGCTGTGCTGAGCTATCCCCAGAGTGGACACTAGAGGAGAGGCCAGGAGAGGGGGGCTCGGGAGAGGACCGAGGAGGTGCCCCCCACTCACTTGCACACTCACAAACTCACACGCACTTAGACACACACACAGTTACACACTCACACACTCGGAGTCACACTCACAGAGACAGAATCACACGCAGAGTCACATACACAGTCACACACACTCACTCACACCCTCACACAGACACACTCAGTCACACACTCAGAGAATCATACATAGTCACATACAGAGTCACACACACTCACACTCACTCACACACCCTCACACAGTTACACACACTGAGTCACACACACAGTTACACACTCACACACAGTCACACTCACACAGAGACAGAATCACACAGCCACATACACACTCACACACACTCACAGTTACACGCTCACTCCCTCACAGTTACACACAGTGTTACACACACACTCAGAGTCACACCCTCACACAGAGAGAATCACACAGTCACATACAGAGTCACACAGTTACACTCACACCTTCAAACGGAGTCACACACACTCAGTTACACACACATACTAACACCCTCACAGTCACACACTCAGTTACACACTCACACACACTCAGTCACAGACTCACACAGAGACAGAATCACACACAGAGAGTCACATACAGAGTCACACAAACTCACAGTGACATACTCACACAGTCACACACTCACTTGCACCCGCAGAGGAAGAACGCTGAGTGGGTGGGGTGCACTGGCCACGCGCAGGGGCAGCCTCAGCCCCAGCAGCCACACTTGATGAATTTTGCATCACCTTGGCTATGAATAGCTTCCTCTGCAGCGAAACAGACAGTTCAAAGGAAGGAAAAGGGCCCGAGGAGGGAGAAGGAGGGTGAGATGTATCCCAAATCCCTAACTCAGCTCAGGAGGACAGTGGGGCGAGGCAAGGTGGGCAGGGCCTCCCACTCCCACGGGGATGCATGCCTTTCCAGAGGCGGCATGTGAGGCTGCGAGGGGTCTCCCACAGGGCCCTGGCAGCCCTGTTGTGCTTCCAGGATGAGGCCAGAAGGACGCAGCGGGGACAAGAGGGTGTCCGGGAGCCTGGGCAGCACGTGGGCCACCTGCTTACATGCTTCGAGGCCATTTCTTAGATGGGCACACTGAGGCCTGGGAAGATCACTGTCCCATGAGGGACCGTGCACTGCATCCTCGGCCTAGGGAGGATGCTGATGGGCCGGGGCAGGGAGGCCGCAGGGAGCCAGGCCCAGCAGGCATGGGTGGGGGGCGCTCAGCGTGCATGGCTAGGCTGAAGGCGTCACGGGGACCTATGCAGCCTCTGACTGGGGAACCTGGCTTCCAACCCCAGCTCTACCCCTTCCTGCCTGGGCAGCCCTGGGCAAGACACGTCACCTCTCTGTGCCTGTTTCCCTAGTAACTAACTCATAATAATGCAAGCACCCCATTTACCAGGCGGTGGACAAGGTGCAGCCCCAGGATCCCTGCTGCTCACCAGCTGTGGAGCTGTGCCTCCCAGCTCAGTTTTCCCATCTGCAGAATGGGCTGCTGCCGCTGTTCCCTGCCCCAACAATGAGGCGTAAAGCATTGAGAATGAGCCTTGCACAGTGTGGGGGCCACGTGAGCTTTATCAGCGCTGCCAGCTTGTTGGCCAGTGACACCCATAAACAGGGAGTCCCTGCTAGGCAGCCTCCACCTGCCACCAAGGGGACACCCCTAAAGATTCGAGCCATATGACTCGTCCTGCCAGGCCGCCAGCCCTGGCTGAGGCCCACGCAATGGGCACCCAGACCAGGGAGCTGAGTGAGGGATTCCAGGTGGGTGTGTGGGTGGACGCCGGGCAGTCAGTCACGTTAGCCTGGCTGCCCTCTCTGGCCAGGCTGGGGTGAGTGCGTCTCACCTCCAGGCCATCTTGTGTAAACTGTGGGGTTGTTCCAGCTGCCCACTAGCTCTCCAGAGACCCAGTGCCAGCCCCACAGCCCGAGGCCCCAGTGTCGTGGTGCCAGTGGCTGCACTGGGCACCTGCCGCATGTGGGCTGTCTCCTAAGTACTTTGTATGCATTCGCTCCATTAATCTCCAAAGCCATCCCCTGGGGCAGGTGCTGTTAGCATCTCCACTTTACAGAGAGAGAAACAGAGGCCCAGGGAGCTAAAGGAACATGCACGGGACACGGGACCCCACCCACATCCCTCCGGCTTCCGTGGCACCCGGCATTTCTGATCCCGGCTCTTCTATTCCAGTGCTGGAACATCAGGGTGGGTCCTTTCCTCTCCCTGGCCTTGGTTTCCCTAGCAGTGAAGGGTCCCGGTGCACAGAATCTAATCCCTGGCCCCTCTACTTGCTGGCCTAGAAAGTGAGTCCTTCACCCTCTCTGTGCTTCTGTTTCCTCCCCTGTAAAACGGGAATGGGAACAGCCCCTGCCTCCCAGAGCTCCTAGGGCAGTGCGTGCGCCTAGTAAGTGTTCAGGAAGTGGCAGCCATGCTGTTAATATTGCTGCTGCTACTGCTGTGAAGTGAGCACTCCCTGAGACCCCTGACCAGAGGATGGGGGTGTCCAAGCATCCAGGGACCCAGAGAGGCCCAGGAGGTGGCCTGTGCCCAGGGCCTGAGGCAGCTGCAGGAACTCACAGCCTCTTGAAATGGGCAGAGCTGTGACCCTCCCTCTGTTCTTCCCCACAGCCTCCCACCTGCCAGGCCTACCTCCACGGCATCTCTGCTCTTCCCTCTGGCCACATCAGAAGGGACCACAAGGAAGCAAAGATTCAGAGAGTGAACTTTCCCACAGGGACCATCCCAAAAATGCCCACACTGGCATCCTGCAGCCCTGTTCTCCCGGCAGGGCCTGGAGTCCAGAGGGTTTCCAGCACAGCAGCTAAGAGCCAGGACTCTTCAGAGTCCCAACCACTATGACCCATTCCTGGCTTTGCCACTTACCTGCTGTGTGACCTTGGGCAGGTTGCTTTGCCTCTCTGTGCCCCAATTTCCCCATCTCCAAGATGGTAGGTGATAGCAGCCCTAGAGGAGGTGGTTGTGAAGATTCAGGGCCATGACACAGACGAAGCAGTTAGCCTGGCACCCACTGGGCTCGATGTCCCGGCTCCTGAGGCTGCCAGCTGGTGAAGACGGCAGGACTGCTGGCATCGGACATTCCCTGGGCATTCCCTTTACTCTTTGTGTGAACTCAGGCAATCCACTTCACCTTCCTGTGCCTCAGTTTCCTCATCTGCAAAACAGGCCTAATAACACCTATCTGGGGACATGATGAGCATTCAGAGGAGATTAGCCCAGGAGAGCACCTGGCCAACAGTGCTGTTCTTGTGATTCTGATGAATCACAAGATGTCTGTGAGCCGGGACATCAAGCCCAGTGGGTGTCACCCCCGCCATCCAGGAGACATCCACAGCATATGTGGCTTTCTCTGGGGCAGGCCCCAGCCTGGAAGACACTGGAGACTTCCTCTCCAGGTGACAAGGAGCAGCTGAAGGATGCGTCTCCCAGCAAGACTGACATGCAACAGACACGTCGAAAGGGAAAGGAAGGTCGTGAGCCCTGGGTGGCCAGGCCAGGGCAGAGCAGGCACCGAGGAGCAAGTGGTTCCCGCAAAGTAGGTCTTGGCTCCGGGTCCCAGAATGTGTCCCCTGGAGACCCTCTTGCTGCTTGTGTTTTGTCAGCCTTCATGCCCAAGCCTCGGCCACCTGCCTTCCCAAGCTCACCTGCACGCGCACCTCTGTGCTTCGGCCTGAGCCTCACAGGCCCACCTGGGAGTGTCTCACTTACTGACTCCATCAGGGTCAAAGCCAGTTGGCTCTAGGCAGGTGCCAAAGGCCAGGCATACTTGGATTCCAGTCTCAGACCTTCCTCAAGCTGCGTAACCTTGCCCACGCTGAGCCTCGGCAAACAACCCAGAGCTGACGAGAGCACCATGAACGTCACTGGGAAAGAATTGGTGCAGAATCAAGGGCAGCTCCTGTCCCCCGCAGCCACAAGACACTTCACAACCCCTTTAGAGTTTATTCCCCACATACGCACCACCCCATGACCCCTTTTTTTTTATTTAGACGGAGTCTCACTCTTGTCCCCCAGGCTGGAGTGCAGTGGCACGATCTCGGCTCACTGCAACCTCCGCCTTCTGGTTTCAGCAGTTCTCCTGCCTAGCCTCCCAAATAGCTGGGATTACAGGCAGCTGCCACCACACCTGGCTCATTTTTGTATTTTTGGTAGAGACAGGGTTTCACCATGTTGGCCAGGCTGGTCTCGAACTCCTGACCTCAGGTGATCTGCCCACCTTGGCCTCCCAAAGTGTTGGGATTACACCCGGCCGACCTCTTCTGTCTGTTAAGCCAAGACTTTCATTGGCTTCTAGCACCTTGGGTGTGCTCCTGTCTAACTGCGTTTGCCTCCTCCATCAGACTGGAGGCTCCTGGGGTGGAAATACCAAGTTAAATTTCTCACCCTGGTCCAAGCACTACCCAGCATAAGGCCTGACATATTGGGGCCAGGGGAGGGAGCGGTGCTCAGAACACGTTTATTGATAGAACTCAAGATCGCTTTCACTACAACTAAATTACAATATGGTGGAAAGTTATTTGCAGCAATTTCCATGAAGAAAGGAATCTATCTCCCCTCCCTAAAGTCATGTGATTGTCATGCCAGTAGAAGCTAGTTCTGAGACTAGGTGTCAAGGGGCCTTGCGGCTTCCACTCTTGTGCTAGGGACTCCTCTGCCACCAGTGACCCAGCCAGGACTAGCCACTGGAGAGTGAGAGGCCCCCTACAGCACCAGGCCCAGATGTCCCAGCTGAGGCCACAGACTAAGTGACTGAGAGCAGCTGAGCCCAACAAAGAACTGTGAGCTAATGAAAACTGTAGTTTTGTACCCCTGAGTTTAGGGGATGTTTGTTATGGCACGCTACCTAACTGATACACACCATAGCCCATTTCACAGGGAGACGATTGGGCTTTCAAGAGGGCAGAGCTCAGGGCCTCACCTCCATCAGGGGCTGAAGCAGTGAATTAAAAATGCATGCCCAGAGGAGAGTAGCTGTGACCACTTCTGCCAGCACTTTCGGCTGCATCATTAATAAAGACATATTGTTGCAGATAAAGCTCAGACC